AAACACATAAATTAAATGGAGAAAGTGGGTTTTACTGTGATGGTAGGATGCTTATAGACATAATAATGTTCTAAATATTCCAGAAGAGCGAGAGAAAAGGATTTTGGATATTTTCACTAAAAATAAATGACAAATGTTTAAGGAGGAAGATGTCCCATCTGATTTGAACATGATACAATATATCAATCAATACATAGTTTGCATTAATTATCTCATTGCATGGAACCTTCACATATGAATAATTTTCGTATGCCAACTAGAAATAAAAGTCAATGAAATAGTGTTGAATAATTGTTCATCTCTATAAAATAAATTAATCTTAACAAATACTAACTTAGAATGCAGAAATAACTTTGTCTTAAATTATAGAGACTCTGTGTTTATCATTACAAAATTGCAAGAAATAATTTGTTTCATTGTGATTTAGAAGCTTCTTTTAGAAATAACACATAAAAGCAGAAAATATTTTTTAAGTTGATGAAAGTTGCTTTTTCTCTATAAAAGACAGTCCTGGAGCTTGAACTCAGGGCCTGGGCTCTGTCCCTGAACCTCTCTGTGCTCAAGGCTAGTTCTCTACCACTTGTGCTATAGCAACATTTATGTCCTTTCTTGAGTAGTTTATTGGAGATAAGAGTCTCATGGACTTTCCTCTCTGGGCTGACTTCGAACCATGATCCTCAGATCTCACCCTCCTGAGTAGCTAGGATTACAGGCATGAGCCACTGGTGCCCAGCTATATAAAAAAAGATGAAAATTCAATCCAGTAATAAAGAAAACAATTAGAAAACTACAAATATGAGCCAGGTTCCAGTAGCTCTGGCACCTGTAATCCTAGGAGGTTGGGACCTGAGCATCTTAGTTCATAGCCAGCCTGGGCAGAAAAGTCCCCATGAGACTCTGATCTCCAATTAACCACTCAAAAACTGGAAGTGGTGCTGTGGCTCAAATGGTAGAGTGTTAGCCTTGAGCAAAAGAACTCAGGGATAGCACCCTGAGTTCAAGACCCAACTAGTGCATGTGTAGGACAAGCAGAAAAAAACAAAAGCTATGTACATATGATCATATAAGATGATGTTAAGCAAAATGAACCCTAGATAGGGACACAAATATTTTTTTTCTTGCTATTGTTTCTAATGTATTTATAACGTACCATGTGATTTTTTTTGTTGTTTTGTATATTCCTCCCCCATGGTATAACTCCTGTTTTTCACTGTATTTGATGTCGGTGCCCTGCATCTTGTATATACACTTCTCTAATTTGGGGAGGGGAAGGGAAAAAACAAAATGCTTAAATAATGATACAGGTTGACTCATTGTAACCATGAGATGTACAAAACACAATGTTGAAAACGAACTTTACAACTTCAGTGGGGAGGGGGAGGTTGTAGAGGTGGGAGGGAATGATGGTAGGGGGAAACAAAGGAGGAAGCAACAATGCTCAATAGTAAATGTACTCATTACCTTGCTCATGTAGCTGTAACAGCTCTGTACAGAATTTTTACAATAAAAACATACAAAAAAAGAAAAAGAAAATTACATACCTACCCTCAAACTGGTATTTAGAGTGTATAATAACTCTCAATGCCTAAAATTTTTAAAAAGATTCAAACAGTACAATTAGTGTAAAAACATTTTCAAGAAAACTATTTGACCGCAGAATATGTAAAAGATAGAAATCTTCATACAAAAAGTTCAATATCATTGATCATTAGGAAAATTCAAATTGAAATCATAATAATAAAATACTCTTTTAATTTTTATTTATTTTTTATTGTGAAAATACTGTACAGAGGGGTTACAATTACATGGGCAAGATAATGAGTACATTTCTTATCAAGCATTGTAACTTTCTCCTTTGTTTCCCCTTCCCATCCCTTCCCAGCCTCCCCCCCAACCCCCCCCCACCCAATCCTCCCCCCCCCCCCCACACCAAAGTTGTAAAGTTCGTTTTCAACATGACAACTTGTACTTCTCATTGTTGCAACAGGTCCACTTGTATCCTTATTTAAACGACTTGTTTTTCCCCTTCCCCTCCACAAATTATACTGACATCAAATACAGTGAAAGCAGGGGTTATACTGTGGGGGAGGGACATACAAGGCAACAAAGAAATAATCTTATAAATGCGTTAGAAACAAATGCATGAAAGAAAAAAAAAACATTTGAATACACATCTTAGCGTTCATTTCCCTAACATCACCTTATCTGACCTTTTCTGCTTGACTCATACATATACTAGATATTGTACATAAGGGAAACCATGGGACCTATGTTTCTTTGGGCCTGGATTACTTCACTTAATAGAATTGTTTCCAAGTCTTTCCATTTCCTAACAAATGGGGCAATGTCATTCTTTCTGATGGAGGCATAGAATTCCATTGTGTATATATACCACATTTTCTTGATCCATTCATCTACTGAGGGGCATCTGGGTTGATTCCATATCTTAGCTATAGTAAATAATGCTGCAATAAACATAGTTGTGCTGGTAGCTTTAGTGTGGTCTTGTTTGTAAACATTTGGATAAATGCCCCAAAGTGAGATTGCTGGGTCATAGGGGAGCTCTATGTGGAGTCTTTTGAGGAATCTCCATACTACTTTCCAAAGTGGTTGAACGAGTTTAAACTCCCACCAACAATGAAGTAAGGTTCCCTTCTGTCCACATCCCCTCCAGCATCTGTTGTTGTTAGAGTTCTTGATTTTTGCCATTCTAACTGGGGTGAGGTGGTATCATAATGTTGTTTTGATTTGCATTTCTTTTATGGCTAGGGAGGTTGAGCATTTCTTCATGTGTATATTGGCCATCCTTCTTTCTTCTTCAGAGAAGTTTCTCTTTAAATCTTTAGCCCACTTATTTATTGGGCAGTTGTTTCTTTGAGGATTAAATGATTAAAAGTAATAAGAATTTCAAGTTTTTAGGGAGCATTTCAACAAGTGGAATTTTCAAACATTTTTGGCAAGAATTTAAAAAATAGCCTACTGACTGTGAAACAATTTAGTGGCTTCTCAGGAAGTCAAACCATATCCCTAGGTACTTACTAAGATCCCTGACAGAATATTTTATCAACTTTACTCATTATCATGAAATAATGAAAATAATCTTAACTGTTTTTCACTGGATGAAGAGATTTAAAAAAAAAATCCTACAGTATGCAATGTATACTGTTCAGCAATAATAAGTGATGAGTGGTATCTTGCTTTTATTTATGTGGCCTAAACCTCAAGCATATCATGCTAAAAAACAAGTAGTATACATCTAGGATAATCTTACCAGACAAGCAGAAAAGGTCAAAAGCTATGTACATATGAACATACATGATGATGTTAAGAGAAATGAACCCCAAGATAGGGACACAAGAGGTTTTATCTTTGTCTCGGCTGTTTTTAATGTACTATGTGATTTTTTTGTTTCTTTTATATGTTCTTCCCCCATGGTATAATCCTTGTTTTCCCTGTATTTGATACCAGTGCCCTGCATCTTGGTTATACATCTTTCTAATTTGAGTAGGGGAAGGAAAACAGCAAAATGCTGAAACAAGGATACAGGATGACCCATTGCAACAATGAGATGTACAAGACACTACATTGAAAACAAACAAACTTTACAACTTTGGTGGGGGGTGGGGGAAGGATCGGGTGGGAGGAGGGGGAGAGTATGGGAAGGGATGGGAAGGGGAAACAAAGAGGAGGCAACAATGCTTGATAAGAAATGTACTAGTTATCTTGCCCATGTAATTGTAACTCTTGTGTACAGTATTTTCACAATAAAAAAAAAAGAAATAAAACCACAAAATTCTACATTAGAAGCAATTGCAGTTTTATTAAAAGTCTATTGTAAAAACTGGGGTGGGTTATCTAACTTATTTAGCTTAATTTGGCGAAGGCAAAACAAGAGTGACAATTTAATTTGGATTATGAAAACAACTGACACTAATTTTTAAGTGGGACTAGTGTAAGGCAGTAGATTATAAAAATTCATCATGGATGCAAACATTCTGTTTGCTAGAAGAAATATTAATGATGATATATCAAACTTGCAAGGTCTTTTTCTTTGCTTTATATAAAATGCCTGCAAATTCAAATGTAATTCTTTTTTTTATTATTTTAATTTTTATTTTTTGTGAACATACTGTACAGAGGGTTACAATTACATTGGCAAGATAATGAGTACATTTCTTATCAAGCATTGCAGCCTCCTCCTTTGTTTACCCTTCACATCCCTTCCCAGCCTCCCTCTACCCCCCTACCAAATCCCCCCCCCCCCCACCAAAGTTGTAAAGTTCGTTTTCGACATGACAACTTGTATTTCTCATAGTTGCAACGGGTCCACCTGTATCCTTAAAGGGCTTGTTTTCCCTTTTCCCCATCTCCTCCACAAATTATACCGACATCAAATATAGTGAAAGCAGGGGTTATACTGTGGGGGAGGGATCAAGTATAATTCTTACATAGCAGTAAAATCCCCTTCTTTGAATTAGCTGTTACCTGTGTTGTGAGTTCAAGAAGCTACTTACTTCCTAGAATATTAACTCTGATGTCTTAAAGTGGTTTTTAAATGTTAGATTTGATGTAAACTTAGTAATTTAAAATGTAACACTTAAATTAAGTAGTTTACCATTGTCAACACCATACAAAGACAATAGCACCAATATAAATGTTAGATCAAAGTGAGAAATGAAGATTCACACTTTACTTTCCTAGGTATATTATGATTTCACCTTAGTGCCGTTAGCCTTTACTTGAATGCCTTATAGATAAATTCAAGTGTAAACACAATTCTACTAAGGATTAATTAGGAAGTTTTCGCAGGTCTAAGGGTACAGTGCTAACCTAGTTGTGATTTCCAGGTGTCAATGGTTACATCCATTATATCATGGAATCCATACTCAAGATTGTTGAGAAAGGCTCCAGAGGATTTTTGGTTTCGTTTTTTGCTTCAATAACACAAATTTAAGTAAACAAAAATCCCAATTGCATGGAAAGCTGCCTAAATATTAACAAGCTTTTAAAAGTGAGTGGTTTGAATCTAAGATTCATAATTATATGTAGATATGTTAAATGTTGACATTTAGTTTTGAGTACAGAGTGATGATTAGTGAGTTATGAAATTTAGAGGGAAAATACACAGAGAATACTGTGACCAAGCCTATATTTTTATGCATATAATTATCTAATGTTGAAAAACCTTAGGAAGTCCCAGAAACCCAAAGGGGAGACCATTTTCCCATATTACAGTTTCTTTAGACAACACCAAGTTTGGAATGATAATTTATATAGAGGCAGAGTCTTGGTCCTGCTGCCCTACTTGGAATGAGCTATAGATGGGGTCTACCTACCGAAAGATGGGCAATAAAAAATATTATTTCCTTATCTCGAGGTTCATTTCGCTTAACATCAACTTATTTGACCGTTTCTGCTTGTCTCAGACATATACTAGTTATTGCAAATATGGGAAACCATATGTTTCTAATATATTTATAAGATGATTTCTTTGTTGCTTTGTATGTCCCTCCCCCATAGTATAACACCTGTTTTCACTGTATTTGATGTTGGTATAATTTGTGGAGGGGAAGGGAAAAAACAAATTGTTTAAATAGGGATACAGATGGACCCATTGTAACAATGAGATGTACAAAACATTATGTCAAAAAACTTTACAACTTTGGCATGGGGGGGGTAGGGAAGGGCTCCAGGGTGGGGATGCTGGGAGGATGGGAAGGGATGGGAAGGGGAAACAAAGGAGGAGGCAACACTGCTTGATAAGAAATGTACTCATTACCTTGCTCATGTAAGTGTAACCCCTCTGTACGGTATTTTGCCAATTAAAAAAATATCATGAAAAAAATACTATTTCCATGCTACCTTAAAATTCAGGCTATTAAGGAGGGCACAGTTTCCTACACTGATGATTGAAGTGATTACCATTATCAGAGGTTAGGTAATGAATTGAATTGATTTTAGGAATTAAGGTGTTATGCTGCATAAACAATAAACTGGAGCAGTGAGGTTATTTCCCCTCTGCTATATCAACAACATTTTGTTTATTTTGAGGATCATATTTCAATTCTTCAATTGTAGAAGAAATTTATACATGTGGAAACTATTTTTTTTCTACATAGAGAATGAAATTTGCCAGTTTAAGAAACTGTTTTGGGAATTGTTGAGAAGTGACTTATTCTGTAGTAACTATGCTGCAGCTGTTGGGTTGTTTGCTCAGAAACAATTCACTGGAACTTCTGGAGTTTGGTTTGGAACACTTATTTGATGAATGTTCAGTTAAACACTTGGATACAAGCTCTTTCCAGAAGATCAAATGTCCACCACTGATCGTGGAATGTTTCTGAAGACATTCAATGCCTTCTATCAATTCTATAGTCTTCTTTACGTACCATGATAGTCAGTGCCAACACTGAAGGCTTTACTTTAGAAAATATGATCCTGAACTGACATTCCTTTCCTCTTCTATTGACTTTTCAGTCAAGCAAATATAGCTTGGTCCCAAGGTGCTTGGGCTGAGTCTTTGTTTTAAACAGGAATCTGTCGAGCTAGAGAAAATGTCTCGCTGTCAAAGCCAACGAACTGAGTCAAACTAAGACCTTTTACTTCGAAGTACCTGATTCTCTCAATCATCCCGAGGCCAGTATCGTGGGCAGACTCACTCAATCTGAAGCCACAGACCTGACATCTACACTCCTGTTCCAGGAGAGTGTTCAGCTGGTGTGGCAGATTCAAGTGTTGTTGGTAGTTCTATCATCTTGACAGCACTGGTGGCTCTCCACCAGTCCCCGACTTCCCTGGCCTGCTCTTGCCTGATCCATGAAAGCAGATACCAGGGCTTACAAGACCAAGTGACCCGTGGACTTACTTGGGGAGGCCCGGAGAGGTATAGCTGTCCTTGGAGGAGGTCTCCAGTGAGCCTCCCAGAGAGCAGTGTCTTCCACTGGGTCCTATGAGAGCCTATTGTATAAATATTGACAGATAATTTGGTAATTGTAATAATGAAGAGTCTGCTACATTAACAAATCCCCACACAAAATCAATCCATAAGAGGAAAGTTTTCCTTAGGCTCACAGTTGGAGAGGTTTTAGCCTCTGGGCAGTCGGCTTGTGGTACGGAGCCACATTGAGCGAGAAGCACATGGTAAGGTAAGATGCTCACTTCATGGTTAGACTGAAAGCTAAGAAAAAGAAAGAGAGAAAAAAAGCAGACTGGGGTCTCAACTCATCTTTAAGAGCCCCAATCATAGCTCTCTCCCACCAGGATTAAAGGTTTCACCAACCTCTCTACAGCTCCAAACAGGAGTACAAATCATTAAATTGTGCACTGTGAGAAAACACCTTAGGCCAAATTGTAGCAAAAAACCATTCTTGATACTAAATACAATAATACTTCAATACAACTCTTTGTTCCATGGGAAACAATGTAAGTGAGCACTAAGTATTAAATTGACAGGAGATTGTGTTATGTAATTGACAATGTACTTCATTGCAGTTCATTATTCACCTGATGATTTGCATTCTTTTGCCTCATTTTATCTGAAAGCAGATTATTAATGGAATAAGAAAAAAATGTGAATTTTCTTCCTTCAACACAGCTAGCAAGCCTACTTATTTTTAAGTTTGTGACTTAAAGCAAGGCACTGTTGGCTTGTACCTGTAATCCTAGTTTTTCAGGAGACTGAGATATAAGGATTTCGATTCAAAGCCAGACCAAGCAGAAAAGTCTGGGAGACTTTTTTCTTCAATTAAATTCCAAAGAGAAGGAAATAGAGCTGTGCCTCAAGGGATAAAGTGCTAGCCTTGAGCAAAGGTAATTCAGGGATAACACCTAGGGCCTGAGTTCAAACACCAGGACCTGCACACAGATACCACAAAAATAGTTTGTGATTTAGTGTGTTATGTAGTTAATCCTGGGATATTTAAAGAAATGATGCTTCCTTTCTTTCTTGAATGCTTTATTTTTTCCATTAAGATAACAACATAGAGCAAGGGGCTGGTGGCTTATGCCTGTAATCTTAGCTATTCAAGTTGGCTGGTTGGAAGTCAACCCAGGTAAGCAAGTCCATGAGACTCTTATCCCCAATTAGCCACCAAAAAACTAGATGTGGAGCTGTGGCTTAAAGTAGTAGAGCAGCATAAGCAAAAAAGCTCAGGGACAGTGTCTAGGCCCTGAGTTCAAAATCTAAACTAAAGAAAACCAAAGATGGCAATATAGAGTTTGCTAAAATTTTCCTTTCTTATTAGATTTTTTTTCTGTTTTGCAAATTTTTGAGGATATTTCATTTTAAATAATTTATTAAGTTTATGATGCCTATTTCATTAGATAAAAATAATGTTGCTATTTTAGGTACTTTCATAACTATTATTTACAGAAGTAATGTGAAACTTTTAAAATACAGAACTGGATTGTGTTGGTGTATATTATTTTGTTTTAAGTAGGAAGTCAATAGATTAATATTTTGAAGGACTAAAATAAAAATTTATAAACAAAGTTGGTATGAATGTACTCTATTGGCAACCAAAATCCTCAAATAGATCCACCATTAGTGGATCTATTTATGTTTTTCTTTCATTTTTGTCAGTCGTGGAGCATGAAGTCAGGGCCTACGTGCACTCCCTGAGTTTTTGCACGAGGCTAACACTCTGAACTACTTTGAAGGACAGCAACACTTCTGGTTTTCTGGTTGTTAATTGGAGTTAAGAGTCTCACAGACTTTTCTGCCTGGGCTGGCTTTGAACTGTGATCCTCAGATCTCAGTTTCCTGTGTAGCTAGGATTACAGTCAAGAGCTACTAGTGCCTGGCTAGTGGTATAATTTCTAATATATCCAACTGTTCTTTGCAAATGTGGAACCAAGTAAACTGCCATGACCCCTCCATTTAAGTATTAGGCTTATTTCTAGAAATTTTAATTCCATTAAAGGCAGGCTAGCATATTTCTTTTGTAAGGCTTTCTATCCTAAGAGGTAAGTTTTAAAGAGATTTGCTTGTTTAGCTTTTTATATAAGTCAATTTGGCTTTGACCTTGCTTTGCTCTTCAGGTAAGTTTTGAACTTTCAATCCTCCAAGCTCAGTTTCCCTTGTGCTGCAGTTACAGGCCTCTATAACTGACCTACAAATTGATTTTTAAATATACAACTAAACCTGTTAATGTATTTGAAGGAGGAATGAGATAAAACAAGTACTTATTGACCATCACCCTACATATCTGGCACCCACTAAAAACCAGTAGTACCACCTGTCATTAAAGTAGTAAAGGCTCCTAAACTCAGTTAATATTCCTTAGCAGTTTCAGTGCTGATGAGAATGTGTTCCTGAGATTAATAGCCTGGTCTATTCCATACTCTGCCTACAGCCTGAAAATTTCATGGCACCAATTTACTTAAATGACAAATGGTATCCTATATGCTCCATTATCTGACTTCAAAGCTCAATGTGGAATTCTTATTTCTAATGCCTAAAGAACTTTTACTCAGGTATATATGAACAGTTTTCATTTACAAGGCAGCTACACTATTCAATACTACTTTCAGTTTGTACATTTCCACTTTTATTTGCACTTTATCTAGACCCAGCATAGAGGAGTTATTTATCTTAATTGTAATTTTCAAGATGTTTATTCATTGGAAATAAGTTCCTAATATGTACAAAATTATAATTCTATGCCCAATTATTATTCACAAACATCCATGCATACATAGAATAATAATAGGACACTAAAATGTTCTTGCATTACAATCTTATGAAAATAAAGCTTGTCTCAGTGCTCAAGTAACAATATTAAGAACACAAGAATGTTTCCTTTTCCGGATATTCAACCTAATTTACTTCTGTGCAACTAAATTAATAGATATACTTAGTTGTTTTATCATTTTTAAATAACTATATTCAGTCTAGGATCCTAAAATTTCTACTGCATATCCACAGTTGCAAAGAGGATATGAAAGAAATTTATGCTCAATAAAACTGGAGCTTTCCAATTCAGGCTTGGCTATGCTTGCAGCTGACTGTAAATGATTTATATGTTTCACTGGGGCCAATTTACTACACAGTCTGCAGGATTCTCAAAGTGGCAGAGAAATGACAGTCCCAACCATTGAGAAGAAAATGTGCATAAGTCACACTGAAGTTGATTCACAAAAACATTCAATCTTTGAATGATCTACTGATGAAACAGACTTAGCTAAGGAGACTTGCTAAACCAGACTCCAGTAATAAAGCAAAAAAAAAGTCCTGTTTTGGTCGGCAACACCAAACTATATGTAACTTTATTTCTTAAAAATATGAACGAATATGGAATTGGATAAGAAAAAGATTGTGTTTATCAAACTTTGGGAAAAATAAGAAAATATATATTTGTAGTAATTGGAGAGTAAATAAAACATGGAATAGGCTATTCTCATCTTGAATAAATATATACTGGAAGAATTGACACTATATTGACTGGGTAAACGTTAAACAAATACACACAAAACTGGATTTTCCCCAACTTTCAACCTATTAACTAAGTAATCTTGTTCAAATTATTTAATTTTCATGGGATTTCATCTCATTTTTTAAGACCTTAGTTTGTTTTATAGAATTAAGCATTCTATTTGTTTTGAACCCATGCATGCCATTTAGCTGAATTTGTTGCAAGCATTTGCAGTAGTTCCACTGATTTATTTTAGGTTTTCTCATACTTGGTATAATGGAAAGGTGACCTACTCGGTAGGAAACCTGAGCAGTGGTGGTCCTGGGTTCACTGGGGAAGCTAGTCACAAACCTATGCTGAGATCTGAAGTCACTATAGTGCCATTTGCAGTCCATATAAGGGGGGTGAATGTCAGAAACTCTACAGTCAACCAACTGCAGTAGAGCACAAGGTGACTGGATCCTGAGGGAGCTGACCTGGGATACCAGTACACAGAAGCAGAGTTGAGAGATCATGTCTTGGAGACCAAAGTGGCTACAGAGCAAGTTCTAGGGCAGCTCTCAAATCTGCCCCCTGCCCCTGACAAAAGAGAAGAAAAGGAACACATGTGTGACTGCATTGTATTAACTTATATTAAAAATATTTTCTACAGCACAATGTTTATAAATGATTGTTAGCTATATGAGGCTAGCAAACCATCTTCTTAATCCTGCCCAATACTAATTAATTCAATGGCTGTTTGACTGGATATAATACTGAGGCTCCAAACAGGTTAGAATAACCCATCAAAGGACACAAAACTAAGAAATGTGGGAGCTGATCTTAAACCCACAAATATCTCAGACTGAGTGCTGCCCACAATGCACATCAAACTTGCTCTGCAAACTTGGAGAGTTCAAAGCAGGTGAAGGACAATCCATGACTGATCGCTGCTATTACAATAGTTATATTAAATACTAGGATTCTACCTATACACTGGGCTTAATGGTCTCTCCTTACTACTAGTTTCCGGTGTAAAATAAAATGACTATGGCAACCCTATGACTTTTGCTGGCTGACTCAGAAAATAATTTAATTTGTAGTAGTCATCCTACCACTCATTAATTTTATAAAAAAACAAGGAATAGTGAAACTAAGTGGTTAAGATGAGTAAAAGATAAGGAAATCATCCTAAATCTAACATCCTTTTCTTGAATCTAGACATAAGGTATCTATTCTCTGTGTGTAGAAAGTTACTGATTGGGATAATTGCCTATGAAGATTGACTTTTGGATAAATGTTGTATCTTCAGATCTCATTTTCATTTCAGGTTTTGTGAAGCCTGAAACTATTTGCCTACCTACATTCATCTTTATCACACTAAAACTGAACTACACATAGCAAACTTACATGCAAACATCCCCCTGAAGAATGCTCAACCAATGTAGAATCTATAAGGTTAGTTTTATTATAACAGAGAGTACCTTGAATCTTTTCATTATGGTACCTGAATTGCTGAGAATATGCAGTTCTGTCATATTTATGAGAGCACCAAAAGAAAACTTTCTGTACACAAAAATTTTGTATCATAAATACTTACTATTACTTTTTAGCTCAAGGAGTTGACTCCCTATAATTTTTTCTTGTATATGTTTTTGCTGTTGCCAACTTAATCATGTCTCTTTCATGTTTACATATATCTTTGCATAATTCTGTGCATTAACTCACAGAAATAAACCTACTCTCCTTAGTTTTCCAAACACAATTTATATGAATCAACTGTTCAAAGCAGAAATTTAAGGAAAGTTTCAGGAGCATTTCACGCCCACTTCTTCTGAAGAAAAAGTGTGCAGAGATGGCAACCTCAAGTTTTAGGCAGAATATTTTAAGAAGGTCATAGTAGCCCAATAACTGACTGTACAGCAATGCATCTGTAGCTTTACTAAACGTTATAGTCTACTTGTTATCACTTGATATGAGTCAGATCAATAAGATCAGAAATGAAGGTATGTTAAGTAGAATAAGTGGCATACCTCTTAAAAAAATGATTGCCACTCTGAGTAAGTCAGCTTATCTTCTGCCTTTATTTTTCTTATCTTTTTATTCCTACCTGTATTGATGGATAAATGTGATTCAAATTCTTAATACTAAACATGGTAAGGTACCTAACTACCAGAACAGTCCATAATTATTGTAAAGGCATTTATATTAATTGTAAATGGATTCATATAACTGTGAAATAATTCAAAACATTTAAGACATGAATGTCCACCACATAAAATGGAATTTAATTAAATGTCCAAAGAAATGCCTAAGTACAATGAAAATGCAGAAAAGTGTGGAAACCTTAAAAAGCACACCCACAACAAAAATAAACAAGTGGAAAAATAACAAATAGAAAATGTAGAAAAAATGTTAAATATATAGTATTTGGTGCTCAACATATATAAGTAGTCTCCTTAAATGTGAATTATCTCACTACACAAATTAAAAATGCAGAATAGATTAAGAAAACAAAAGTCACCCACAGGAACTAAGAATATCCCTAGTTCCTTCTTCCATTAGCACACAGTTGATCACAGTCATTTTACCAATCATTGGGTGTAACCACTTGGTACAGTTTGCATGTTTTTCCATTTTTCTCTCTACAGAGAAACAATTTTAATTATGAAAATATGAGTGGTGGGTGGAGAGAAAATACTTAAGCAACTCAAATTCCATTTGGAAAAGAGAAATGATCTTGACATTTATTACAAAATACTGTGATTATAGTTTAGAACTTTTAATAAGTTCCACTTCTCTTTTAAGTTTCTAATCATAAGACAGGTATTTCTCCTATTCTATTTCTTCATGCTCTTCTTTAAGGATCTTCTATTCCTTCCTCTCTAACTGAAATGTATAATTAAACATTTCATTTACTTTGTTATACTATACACCAGAATTTTTCATATTTGTTTAGACAATTAAAAAAAGAAAACACAGTACAGGTATGTGGCATCCAATTAGAAAACTATCAATGGCTACAAAATATACAGGAAGAGTTCTTTTGTCACTATTTTTTTCCCCAGAAACCTAATACCCTGTATGGCTGAAAGGAGATATTTATTGGGCATGTCTGTGATATTTGAGGACAGTCAGCAGATTACATTTAGTCGGTTGTAGGGCTTGAACTCTGGGCCTGGGCTCTGTCCCTCAGCTCTTCAGCTCAAGGCTAACTCTCTACCACTTGAGCCACAGCACCATTTCCAGTTTTCTGAGTGGTTTATTGGAGATAAGAGTCTTACAGATTTTCCTGCCCGGTCTGGCTTTGAACCACAATCCTCAGATCTCTGCCTCCTGATTATCTAGGATTACAGGCATGAGACACCGGCACCGGCCAGATTACATTTTTTATAAATAATTTCAGCTAATACAGGAATATATCATATAACTAGACATAACATTTCTTGCTCCGTAAGAAGGTACATAACAATTTTCTTTCTTCTATGCTTTCAATTTATTTTGTAAGATAATTAAAGTATGCATGAGTAAAGAAAAATAGAAGCAATGACATTATTTTAAATTTTATATCAGAGCAAAATGAGAAAATGAGAATATAATTCAAAGTAATAATATAAAATGATTATTAAGCATACAGATAAAATGTTCATTTAAAGCTAAATTTAATGAGCCAGTATTCTATTTTTATAGCTGTATAGCCTAAAATTAAAAATATATTATTTATTACACCATTCAAATTTTTCAATCATGACTTGTAGAAACAAACCAACTGCAAAAGAATTCCTTATATAGGGCTGGGAAGGTGGCTCAGTGGTAGAGCACTTGCCTTGCATGCTTGAGGCCCTGGGTTCGATTCCTCAGCACCACATAAGCAAAAAAAAGAAAAAAGTCGGAAGTGGTGCTGTGGCTCAAGTGGTAGAGTGCTAGCTTTGAGCTGAAGAGCTGAGGGACAGCGTCCAGGCCCAGAGTTCAGGCCCACGACTAGACAAAAAAAAAAAAAAAGAATTCCTTATATATTAAAATGAGAATGTCAATAAAATGCAATAATATTATATTTGCTTAGCATGATGTTTATCCTTGAATCCAACATACATGCAAGACATGACAGGAGCACATATTCATGTATCATCATTACATAAATTGTGAAATGGTAACCAATCTATATAACACTTAATAACAGTAACATTATTTTTAAAAAATAAAACTAGAATGAAAACTAGCTTTTTTATTTTTTATTTTATTTATTTATTTATTGGTAGGTCATGGGGCTTGAACTCTAAGCTTGGGTGCTATCCCTGCTCTGTTCAGCTCAAGGCGCGTGCTCTACTGCTTGAGCCACAACACCACTTCCTGTTTTCTAATGGTTAATTGGAAATAAGAGTCTCACGGACTTTTCTGCCCAGGCTGGCTTTGAACTTGATCCTCAAATCTCATCCTCCTCAGTAGCTAGGATTACAGGCATGAGCCACTAGCACCTGGCATAACTTTTTGTAGTGAATTATTGATATGATTAGGCCAACCCAATCAGTTTTATAGTTTCATTTTTTACTATAAAGTTATTTGGAGAGTTACACCTATCCTAATTCAAATCTAGAGGCCCCATTCTGGAACTTATAAGGGAGACTATTGTATAGGCTATTATTATGTTTAAATTTATAGTATTTTATAAAATGAATTTTCAACACTTAAAACTATGAAATCATAGTTGAGATGAAATAATCTTCCTAACTTTTCTGTATTCTTTTTTTGCTTATGTCTGATAAAGAAGCAGTCAGGGCTATCTTGAAATGAAATCTTTCTGTGGCTTTCAGTGACACCTCATTGTTTGAGAAATTATGGCATACAACTTTATAACAGTCTAACTAGAGTTGAATTCCCCTCCCAAATATAAACCTTTTGCAATTGTCATGAGTCTATTTCCTTTTTCTCATAATTCCACATACATTTAAAATGCTGCTATATACATTGATGCCTTCTAGAAAAATCTTTTCTATTTACACATGCAAGTTTGGGTTTATTCATTTTTTCCTATAGATATCCATTAAAATATGGTTTCTTTTCCTTTGAGTTTTGAGCCACTACCAGAAATGTCTCTTTCACGAACATTTTTTCCCCTAAGACTTTAGTTTTGTTTCAACATCTTAAAATAGTAATTCTTTTTCTATGGGTCCTTACTGTTTTAGGCAAGCATCATAGCAGTTAATTGTAGATGTTAGTTTTGTGTCACAGGATACCCAGACTGACCTCGTTTGTGGGCATATCTATAGGTATGTTTCCAGATGAGGTCAATATTTGATTCAGTGGCCTCAGAAAAGTGTACTGTCGTCTCTAATATGGGAGAGAAAGCATCAGTGGATCATTTGAGGTACTGAATAGAACAAAAAGGCAGAAGATGAATCTGTTGCTTTGCCTTAGCGTTTGTCTGCATGAGCTGGAGCATCAATCTTCTGCTCTTATAATAGGATTCACATCATTGGGTACTCTGGTTCTCAGGCCTTCAGACTTGGGCTAGAATTATACTACTGTCTTTCCTGAATCCCCAGCTTTCCGATGATGAGTGAGGCTTGTCAGCTTCTATATTCATGTGAGTTGAATTTGTGTGTGTGTGTGTGTGTGTGTGTGTGTGTGTGTGTGCGCGCGCGCGCGTGCGTGCGCAGGATTGGGGTTTGTTCTAGTTCTCTTTTTCTAGCAGATTCGTAATGTTACAGAGTTTGACATTAAATGTGGTGTTAAGAATGAATTTTCTGCATTTGTTCTGGGATTTTTTAAAACTGATTTTCTAATATGATTGTATTTAAAGATACTGTTGACTCTTTTTAGTAGTAAATTGAGCAATGGTAGTCTATGGTTGAATCTAGCTATAGCTTAATATATTCTAAATATTTGAGTATTCATAATCAACCACTTAGAACAAAAAGTGTGTTCCTTGATACTTTTAAATACATTTGAAATACTGGTAGATACAATGATATTGATTTGGTTGGTTTTATTTTTTTATTTTTTATTTTTTAGGGGGGGGGGGCCCGGTCATGGGGCCTGAACTCTGGGCCGAGCCCTGTCCCTCAGCTCTTCAGCTCAAGGCTAGCGCTCTACCACTCGAGCCACAGCGCCACTTCCGGCTTTTTTTTTTCTGTTTATGTGGTGCTGAGCAAGCGAACCCAGGGCCTCCAGCATGCAAGGCAACAGCTCTACCACTGAGCCACCCTCCCAGCCCTTGGTTGGTTTTATTTTTTAACCTAGGCTTTGTCATCTCTTCTTCTCCTTCTTCTTCATGCTAAAATGAACTACTTGGAACTCTAGTTTATGCACATATAACTATTGTGAGCATTTATAAGAATGGATATGGGCTGGGAAGGTGGCTCAGTGGTAGAGCACTTGCCTTGCATGCATGAGGCTCTGGGTTCGATTCCTCAACACCACATAAGCAGAAAAAAAAAGCTGGAAGTGGTACTGTAGCTCAAGTGATAGAGCGCTAGCCTTGAGCTGAAGAGCTGAGGGACAGCGCCCAGGCCCAAAGTTCAGGCCCACGACCAGACCCTTCCCCCCCAAAAAATGAATGGATATTAAGAGTATAGAATATTGATGAAAAGAATATACATTTGAGTAAGGTTGAATTCACCAACAGGGGCACACGAAGCAGACATTTACTACACTTGTCCTTATCCATCCATCTACTAATGGGTAATTTCTAGATTCTATATCTTGGCTATTGTGAACAGTATTTTAATAAATAATTGCTCAGAAGTCTCTTTAACATGTTGATCTAATTTCTTTTAGTTAAATATCCAAGAATGAAATTTCTAAATCATATGCAAAGTTTTTTTTTTTTTTTTTGGGTGAGGTTGGTCTTGAGGCTTGAACTCTGGACCTGGGCACTTTCCCTCAGCTCTTCAGCTCAAGGCTAGTGCTCTACCACTTGAGCCACAACATGATTTCCTTTTTTTTTGA